GCTGAAAGCACACACACTCTGCTCCTGCAGACAGCTCCGCTGTTGCCGCTGAGAGACTGTTCCAGAAGGCAGCCTCTCTGTGAATCTTGTTGTCATGGCCCAGGCTTTGTGGCTTCTTTACTCAATGGAAGCTGCAGTGGAAAAGAGCACGTAGATCACACCTCCCTGGTCTGGGAGCTGGGGCTCCACGTTCACCTGGGGGGGAGTGGGGGTGGGGTGGGAGGTGTAATCTACATGCTAGGAGCGGCTGCTGCTTTGCCGCATGAAAAGGGAAAATGAGCCCCGAGGAGGCATCCAGACGTTTGCTGGTGGGAGGCTGGGGTGGAGAGGACAAAACACCTGGGTCTGCACAGCAATCCGCTGTGAAATACCTCAAAATCCAAAGGCGGTAACATCATCATTTCAGACCTGGGATACATTCTGAAATGAGAATGCCTAGAAAATAGAAAGAGGGTGGTTCTGGGGAAAACCAAACAAATCATACACTGTCACAAAAACTCGCGGGCGCTGCCCTACTTAACAGTGGGTATGAGCGCAGCCTGAAAAAGTGCTCGAAGGCAGGGAGCTGAAGGTACGTATGACCAACTCCCTTTTATGAAAACCAAGGATATACGCAAGTAGTTCCTACGCTTTTTGATTTTACAGATAAGTAACATTAAAAGAATTAATTTGGGAGATGACTCTAGTAGCCTCCTTTTTATTTTTTCAAAAATAAGGATACCAAAAAACCCACTAGAATTTATTATGACCATTGTTTTATTATTTTTTTCCCACTGGAAAATATATAGGAAAGGCACAATCTCCCACTTAACAGTCAGTCATTGAAATTGAATGCATGTAGCTTCATGAAAAACTTGGAACATTGTCTTAATTTTTTTCACTTTTCCAGGGTCGTTTTGTCACTAATGAGCTGGTTCAGACTAGTGTGACGGAATGCTAGAAAAATTTCCGAAGTGTGTCCAAGATAGTGTTATTGATCATATTCCTTCCGAGAAATTTATGTTGGCGCTGTCCTTTGCCTTACAGCGTACATGTATCTCGGTCTGACAAGTTTATCTGTTGAATTTTCTAGGCAGTGGGTTAAAAATACAAAGGCCTGAGCTTTGCCCTTGGCGTACTTAAAAGCTAATGAATACAACATATGCTGATCATTTACAGATAAACATTTCACCGACGTTTACAGATGCAGCACAGAGAGGATGTTTTGGGACTGAGAGCATGTGGAGGGAGTAACAGGAAACAGCCATGTTAATCAGGGAAGAGTCTTGCTCCTTTTTTTAGGAAAAGGGGAGCTAAAGCAGAGAAGTTGGAGAATGTCAAGGTGGAATTACGTGACTAGGCCTTGATTCTGCCTGGAGTCAATACCTGTTGTTATTTGTGGTCTCTGTGTGCTTTGCTTACATTTTTCAGGAGATCTGGCCAGTGAACTCATCTGCCTGGGGGTGACTGGATCTGCGTCAGCACCTTGTCCAATCAGATGTGGCCGAAGAGGGTGGACAGGACCAGGGAGGACACACAGGGCTGACCACGCCCACCTCGCCGCAAAGGCTTTGAGTTCCAACCAAAAAAGAATTCGCAGTGACTTTCTGAGAAGCTGGTACGGGCTGAATAACTATGCCCCAATCCGTCTACCATTCTTCACAAGTTTGATTCTTATAAGCCTGTCCACAGCTCCATTTTCCAGGCAAGAATAAAAGGCTGGGTCTTAAACGTGGAAGACTGTATGATCTGCTATCTTTTCTGATCATCAGAATTATTTTAAAAAGTGGTTTCTAAAATTTTTTCATTTGTTGATGAAACTGATCGCTATTCTCCTAATAACCAATATTTTAAGCTGAAACTATTTCTATCTTCCTCATTTTCTTGATACTTTGAATTCCATTAACTTTGTGAAACAATTAGAGGGTATAAAGACAAAGCATAAAAAAAAAATCTGCTGCCATCATCCAAATAGTTTGCAAAAGATTATTTTTTGGACTATCCAAAAATGAGGCTATACAGGAAAACAGGAGGGACTAAAGATCGAAATATGGTAAATTGAATATACTATTTAGAACTCTTGGTTGCACTCACAGGAAGCTAAATAGAATTGATTTCAGCAAACATCAGAACATGTTAAATATACTGCATATCATAGCAACCGAAGATGGGCGTTCTCGGGGTCCTGTCGGAAGCCCACTTCTGGACTCACTGAGACAGCCAGTGTGCCCAGCGTCACTTGGCAGCTCCCAGGGGACTCTCTGTTACAGAGTGGGGGGGGGGGGGGGGCGGGGACAAGAAGAACTGTTTTCAGAAGAAGTAAAAAGGAGAGCAAACAAAATAGAGCTGTCTACCTTACTGAGAAAAAGAGCGAAGAATCATGGTAACAAGGAAAAACCCCCCAGCTTGTTGAGTTTCTTGAATATCTAGAAACAACTGAGGTCAGTTTCAGGGGGCAACTACTCTCCTCCATTTTAAGGAAACATTCCTTTGTTCAGGGACATAATGTGAAAGTTCTATCAACCAATGACAGCCTGCAGAACACGTGGTCTGTTGTACCGGGCTTAATTACTAATACTCACTGTGTGCTTCCTGTATACAAACACTCCTTTAGACTTTGGAATTTGAGGTGGAAGTTGCACAGATGAGCAGGTCCCTCCCTCAAGTTGACCCTTCGGTACTCTGCAGAAGGGAAAGCTCTACGTGTTGATTGGCCACCCTAAGGACTGATTGCTTTCTAAAAAGCAAATCCTACGCTCCTCTTCCATCATTTCCTCTAAAAAAGAATTGGTGGTCTTTTTTGGGTTTCTTTTCTTTTCTTTTTTTTAAGATTAAACTCTCTATGATGCATCACCACAACCCGTGGTCGGAACCACAACTGCAACCTGACAGATGTCCTCAGCTGTACCCTGCAGAAAGCTCACAGAACTGCCATCTGGCTTTAGCTGAAGGTTTTCAACAGAAAATCTCTCTCTGTTCCTCACTTCCCTTTGGGGGAAAGATCAGTGAGGAAAGGGGAAGGGAGGCTAGTTTTTATAAGTGATGTAAGGAAACTTGCATTTTTATTTATTATTATTATTTTCAAGAAGTGTTCTTTCCAGTCTGGGAGGTGGAGTGAAAAAAGGTGTGGGAGAGGGAGGAGACTTGGGGGGACGATACCAGCAGGTGGCGCGTGTCTCCTCTGAGGTTAGAATGTCCTCCTCAGCCCGGAACCCTTGCGAACAAGCGCAAACAGGCTTGCAGTCCATGCAAGTGACAAAGACCCGGCCATACCTTAGCGCGGAGCTGATGAAATGACACGTTCCAGCCTTTTGCTCAGACCGTCAGTCACCATGACCACCTAAACCACCGGCTCCCCTACTCCCGGGGTTGTATTCCTTTTCCCTAATTAATCGGCATTTCCATTGCCGCTAGCCCAGGGGCTTACAGTGACAGCCTTGGGTACAGAGCAAAAATAAAGCCCCCAAAGCCGCGATCTCCAACCTTTTTCGTCTCCTGGCACACATAAATGAATTGCTAAAATTATGCGACACACCAAAAAAAAAATGTATTCTATTTTTTGCCAGTCTGACCCCAAATAGGTGTAATTTTGATTCATTCACACCAGGTGGCTATTGTTGTGTTGGCTGCTGTCATTTTTTTAAATCTGACAATCTAAGGGCACAGAGGTCGGTGCCTCTGACTACTAATCAGGTACCGCATGTTGTAGACTCTTGAGTCGAAGGCCGCTGCCCTACAGAGTTGGCGCTGAACGCGGGAAAGGAGTGGGACTTGATCAGTCTTCCAGCTGGCCTGCCCTTATGGTGTCATGTTGTGTCGCATCTGGCGTGCCAGCCTTGATCTGAGCAAACAGGACTTTGTTTGCAAGCAGGCACGTCGGTTTGCATGCCCCACGGGGCAGGGAAAAGGAGCTGCGGGAGGGCACTGAGGTACCTGTGCACAGGCTCCACCTGTAGCCCAGCTACTTCCTGGCTGGTTGGCGTCCCTGGCCTCTCACCTCGCCTCCCGCCGCCCAGTTCTGGGGCTCTGTCAGCCACAGGCAGCCCCTCTCCCCCACAGGACAATGTATTCTGTCCCCCATAGAAACCGCCCTCAGTTTTGAAAGTCCTTCCTTTCTGGGTCTGCAGTTTTCTACCGCCGCGCAGGAAACCTGTCCTTCCTGTGTGCTGATGGCCCGGGGGCACGCCGGTAGGAGCCCCGGTGACCTTAGACAGTGTTCTTGACTTCCTCTGTAGACTGGAGAGAACAGGATTTGCTGCTCCCCGGGCTCCTGGATCAACGAGATCACTACCGCGGACCGCCCAGACCAGAGCCTGGCGCTCGGCAGGGACCCGAACGCCCGCGGTCGGCTGCCGGCTGCGCAGCGCCGCGGGAGGCTGCGTCTGGGGGGACGCTGGGTCACAGTAATTCCCGGAATGGAGATAACCTCTCACCTCCCCGTGATTTCAAATCCCATCTATTGCCTGGTCGCCGGCTTCTTAGAGCCTCTGAAATCTTTTGTCCCTTACCACCCCCGGCCCCCGGCAGCGACAAGAAAGCCAGAGCAGTTGGGCGTCTCAATGAAAACGATCCCCGCCCGGCGGGCGCTCGGCCGGCTCCCCGTACCCGGATCCGGGGCTGAGCGCGCCGCTCGCGGCGGAGGAAGTCCCGGCGCTGGGCTGACAGCTTGGGGGAAGGAGGAGGAGAGAGCGGCGGCGGAGGAGGGGAGAGCGCGGCCGAGAGGAGGGCGCAGGGGAGGGTGGAGACACATGCGCGCTGCCTGCCGCCGCCGCCGCCGCCGCCGCCGCAGTCCGCCGCTTCCCCGGGACAGGAAACCTTTGAGACCGAGCTGCCGCGGCCGCCTCGTCGCCAGCCCCTCTTTCCGCGCCCGCCACACCCTTCTCCCCCGCTCCCGGCATCTTTCGGCGGAGCCCTGCAGGAACGCGGCACCCGGAGCCGTCTCCCCCTCTCGGGGGAAAGCTGTGACGGCCCCCCGCAGGAGCGGCGGGGCGGGGTGGCGGTAGGGGTGGGGGCCCGGGAGAAGATGGCGACGCCGGGAAGCGAACCCCAACCTTTCGTCCCTTCCCTGTCGGTGTCTGCTCTGCCCCCACATCATCACGCCCACCACCACCACCATCAGCACCACGGAGGAACCGGAGCCAACGGCGGGGTTGGGGGAGGCAGCGGTGGCGGCAGCGGGGGCTTCAACCTGCCCTTGAACCGGGGGCTGGAACGCGCTCTGGAGGAAGCTGCCAACTCCGGGGGATTGAACCTCAGCGCCAGGAAATTGAAGGAATTTCCCAGGACCGCGGGGCCCGGGCACGATCTCTCGGACACGGTGCAGGCAGGTGAGAGAGGGCCCAGGGCCAGGCAGTGGGTGTGAGTGGCTGGCTGTCGCGCCCTTCCCGACGCAGCAGCGAGCAGGAGATGTAGCCTCGCCGGGGGTCCCTCCGCCCGTGCTCTCCGGAGTGAGGGACCGCGTGGGCGCGGGAAAGGCGGGCCCCGAGGAGGGCACGGTGAGCCCCGCCTCGCTCGGCGGCTGGCGGTGGAGCCCGCCCGCGGAGAGCTGGGGTGCGCCCTGCCGCGGCGCCCGCCAGCGCGGGGTCCCGGGCTTCCCACTCAGCAGCGGCCGCGCGGGCTTCCTGGGCTCGGCGCAGGGCCGGGCATCCGGGCGCTGGGGCAGGGACCCCGGGCACAGCGTCTTCGTCTCCGACCCAGACAAGCCCTCTTGCGTCAAGGCGTCGCCCACCCTGGTGGGGAAACACGGACAAAGGTGGCGCGCCCTTGGCCGACCCGAGGGCATCGGTGCGGTGCCGTGAGGGCCCTCGGCGACCCTAGCGATCAGGCAACTTAGTGCCGGCTGCGAGGATTTGCCGAGGCTTCCTCTTCCTGCGCCTGTGCGAGGAAAGAGCCTCTGCGATGGTGGAGAAGCCGAACCCGCCGTCACTCGGCGGGCGGGCGGGCGGCTCTGGTTCTTGCTTTCAGCTCACCGCCTACACGGTCTGGTTCCTACCACGGAGGCTACCTAGCTCTCAGTAACCCGATCTTGGCGGGGGCCCAGCGAGGGACGGCATGGCATAGTAAAAGAAAAGTAATTAAAGTGGGCCGGTTTTCCTGCGTGAGCTGGGCAAGTCATAACTCGCGCCAATGAGCAGCCAGCTTTTTCAAGTTATGTCATGTGTTGACATACTTCTGAGACGTCTGCTTTCTCTTTGGTGGTTGGAGTTCCTGCAGCGGGATCTATAAACAGGAAGGAGGGCGGTGGAACGCGAATCGGGCCTTGGGATCCCTGCAGAACTCAACTTGGTTTTCTACCATCCGGTTCAGCTCCCGGAGGGGGGTGGAGGGAAGGGTTTTCATCTTGGCCAGCACCCAGCATTTGCCAGTGCCCCGTTTTGGAACCACTGCCCAGACCTTGTGGCTATCAGCACCTCGTGAGCCCAGTGCCTGACCCCCTGGATTCTGGATGGACTCTGGGCTCCAGATCTCCCAGTTCCCTCTTGTGGGGGAAGGAAGGAGACCGGTCAGGGGAGGAGGCAGTTGACGTTTGGAGCTAGATTTCCAGTGCTTTTATTCCCCTCTCTCCCTTTAATTCAATAATCATTTATCAAGAGTCCCAAGGAATATATTTAAACAGAGTTCTGAGTGCCAGAGGCAAAAAGGGTTCTTTGGGGTCATTAAACTTTGTAATTTGGATGTGGGGACAGTCAGGAATAGGCAAAAAAGGAGGAAATTTCCAGAGTGGAGCTGTCAGCAGCTGGGGAGTCTCTTGATAGGGCCTCTTAGCTATTCCAAGAATTGCCTGAATCACAAACGTTAAAAAAAAAATCTGTTCTACTTCCTTTTTGCCGTGGAGGGTATGGAACTATGGGAGGGTGGGATATGGCTGCAGAAAATGGAGCTGGCATGAAAGTAGTGACATGTGTTTGTACGTTCAGTGGGGGGTGGGGGCTTGAAAGTTGTTCCTCTACTTCAGTTACGCTGCCCTTTATTTCCAAAGTTGGGTCAACTTGGTGTATCGGCGGCGTAGGCATTACTTCAAGAAAAACCTGTGCTTGCTTCCTTTTTATTGAATCTATGGGGGTGACACTGGTTAATCACATTCTGGGGGTGTCAGGGGCTCGTGTGCTGTGCTGCCTGTGGTAGTGCTCACAGTCGTCTGTGGACGCCTCTTCCTGTCCTCGCTGACCGTCGGAGGTGGATGGCGGTGAGGAGAAGTCGCCTAAGACGCTCTGGAGCCGCCCCCCACGTACAGGGTGAGCCAGCGATTGGAACCCTGACGATTTCACTTCAGTATTTACATGCCTGGCCATATTCCTTTTAAGCAGGGAAAAGGTGGAGAGGAACAGACTCTGGGGATTCATTCAACGAACATTCACCCGCTCAATAGCCGCCAAGTGCCGCTGAGTGTCAGGCACTGCTCTGGGCACCAGGCACAGAACAGCGACCGGCAGAGAATCCCTGTGTCCATCCTTGGGGAGTTCTCGTTCTGGTTGGAGGGGGTTGGGGAGGTCATGAAGAAATTCATTTTGCAGGATCAGTAGGAAGAGTTATAGTACAGATACACCACCTTTGTTTTAGAAACATACACGCTGCTCTCTGTTAAGGGTGACTTGAGGTGGCTTGTAACAACAGCACAAACGATGATGAATAATCAGCTTGAAGCGGCACAACATTGAGCCTGATGAAAAGTACTGCACCAACGTGTGTGTCAGGAAAGCAAACATTTTTTTCCCCCTCCTATTGCTGATTTATTAAGTAGTGTCATTTTGGGATGAAGAGGTTCGAAAGGGGGTTTGTCTAATTGAAATAAAGTAGATTGAAAAAAGTGAGCACGAAAAGGAAGTGTCTGTCTCTGGCTGATTTCAGAGGTTCTGGAAAATAGAAGGGAATCCCAAGGACTTAGTGTGCAGAACTTGTCAAGGACAGGGGTGCACTGTATTGCCAGGGTCTTTTCGAGGTGGCTGGAAGCAGGAGAGGCTGTTTGGGAAATGAAGAGCTTATGCACGTGGGAGTACAGGCGTGCAGCATGAAAAACACCCACTGAGGTCCTGCGTGTGTGAGTGCAGAGATGGCAGGAGGCGTAGAGGGCGAGATCAGACAGGAGCGAAGGAGAAGCGCACAGTTCAGGAGGCGGTGGGAGCCACCAGGCAGGTCAAGGCGAGATGCCAGACACCGCGGAGAGACCTTGTTTGCAGAATTCAGAGCAAAAGGCCATTTCGGTGAAGCTGGCTAGGAAACGCTATCACTGTCTTAGCCCCGGGGGGATTTGGGCCAGGTTTTGCAGGATGGAGAGATTTTGCGTAGAAGTGCCTGTGAACATTCTGTGGATGGAAAGATAGTTCAAACACGTGGACCGAGGACCTGGCAGTGTGAGATCTGTGAATAAAACAATAAGAGGGCGTTTAAGCTCATGCCTGGGTTACTTCCTCCCACCGCACTGTCACCAAATGATGGGGACTCTGATTTTGACTGAGGCCTGTGATCTGTCAGCCTGGGGACCAATGCCCTCATCTGAGCTCGCGCTCTCAAAGGTCTGCGCACACGCAAGGAATCTTCCCCGAGATTTGTGCGCCGTCTCTTCGCCTGGAGGCTGACCTCCCCCAACCCGGTACCTTTCTATAGCGACGAGTCCCCGGGATGTTAGGGCTCTTTAGTCATTAGAATTCACACGCGAGTTGATAAAGAAATCGATTCTTTCTGAAAAACGTGTTCTGCTCCATAGCCTTGGCTATAAAGATTTTTTATTACAATGTAATGACACTTTTGAAATCACACACTTAAAAATGTTACGTCTAGCTGTATCTAGTTTCACATTATTTTTCTGCTATTAAGTTTATTAGTTACTGGTGTAGCCATCGTTTATTGTGGTACTCACTACCGAACCAATGCCTATTTTCATTACACGTACTCAAAGTCCTTCTCCATCCCTAACGGTGAGTCACATCCTTTTCCTTCCTATCGTCATTATTTTTCTGCTGTTGGTCAATTTCCTCCGTATTAAGGTGTAGAGATTTCAAAAAGTGAAAGCCGCAGAACAACCGAGACAATATCAAGGTGGCTTGGAATCCTGCTCAGATGTCTTTCTCCACGAGCCTGTGGATGGTGGAAACGGTCTCCACAAGACAGACTGCTCTCTATGGAAAAGGCAGGAGCACATTGCTCATGTTTCTGGAATAGCAGGACGCGATTATAGGCCGCAGGACCCCTGGAGAGTTTGGGTCTGTGCCGGTCCACAAAGGAGAGCCCGAGGCTTGACCTTCATCGTTGACATGATGCTACTGGATAGCTTGTCAGCCAGTGCAGCATCTTACTTGATTTTTGGCACACGCTGCTATTTCCAACTTTGAGTAAGTGACCAAAATTTTTTTGTGTGTTTTGCCGCAAACTTAAATTTTCCCTGCTATGGTTTAGCAATTCTCAGGTGTAAGCGTTTGAAGAGTAGATAGATATCTTACCTTTTGAAATCCGTATTGATACTGATTGCTTTTTGCTCTTGTTATCCTTCTGGTGTCTACAGACTTTTTGTATTCTTTACCTAACTTCATCATTGCTTACTTAGACCTAAGTTGTTTCCTTACTTTGTGTGTTATTTTCTATTTTTCCCCCTTTTCATGTCTGTCTGTGTATATTTAATCTATATCTGTTGATAGAGATGACCTATATGGTTATAGCTGTGTAGACAGAGGTATAAAGGCTTATTATGTGTAGGCTGGGTGGCATGTACTTTCTCCGAATATCTCCCCAGAGTCTTCACTCCTCAGGTAGTATATTGAGGATGCTTTTCCAGAGATTTGGCCATTTAAGTGGCAGAAATGCTATTAACTTTACTTAGGGTAGTTATGGTCTCATTAGGGCGCCTCTCTCGAGCTTTTGTCTCTGCGTCACCAGAACCTGTTTGGATGCTCCTTTCCCGATGGGCTTTAGCTGTTTGGAAAATGAGCCTTTGCCGTGGAGCAGCCTCTGGGGAATCGGGCGTGGGTTTGGATCCGGTCATGCCACCCGGATTCCCACCTGCAAACTCTCTCCATGGTTGTCTCAGTGGTTGGAATGCAGGTACGTTGGTGTTAATTGCCGTGCGTATTTCAAATTATAAAATCATAACCTATCATAAAAGGTTTCAGAAGGTGAGGTATAAAACCCAACTATGTTTACATATCTGATGCCTTTATGTAGGAAGTCTGGAGGCCTCTGCTGTTGCTACTGGTGTTTTGTTGCGTGGAAGTTTTTATGCACCAGTTGCTGTATTTCAGGATTTCTGTGTGTGTGTGCGCGTGCGCACGTATGTGATGTACTTTGTTTAACCAAAATTAAAAAATACATATAAAATTTTTAAAAAAGGCAACAA